GTGTGTGTGTGTGTGTGTGTGTGTGTGTGTGTGTGTGTGTGTGTGTGTAACGATTGATACATTAAAAGGGAACGCGTGATACTTAAAGATAATGAGCAGTATTTGACTTATAAAATGCAGCAATAATCCACGATATTAACTTTCATCTTTGTAATTCTTTTTCTTAATTTGTATTGTCCACCTGTTCGTTACAAACTAGATTTCAGGAGCCAAGGAATAATCTAGACATAATAAAATTATTTTGTTTATTGTAATGATATTTATTCATAAATATTAATGTAAAAAGAAAATTTTTGTATGTCAAACTTTTTCATATATTAAAATTTTTATAACTAAACTTCTTTAAATTGTTTATAACGAATTGGAGGCCAGTACGTGTATATATGTTGTATACACTCATAAATTTCTAGTATGTCTAATATAATCATTGTATAGTATAATCACAGCGCAAATGTGTACACACTCAGTAAAATTGCTTTACTATACTTTTATCTCTTTTCCCGTGTAACATTTGAACTATATGCGTGTTGTATACATGGTATGTACAACCTTGACGCTCATACTTACGGATTATACAATTATATGTAGTTTAATACATATATACACACTCAACAATATGTATATACGCATCTATACATATGTTTTGAGAGACACATATTATGACATTTGTAGATTCAGTCTTAATTTTCCTAGCATTGTAAGCTCTCGTCCGTACTAGTAGGGCTCTGACTCTCATCACGTGAAGGTGTAAAAATCCGATTACCAGAAGTTTGCGATACAGCCGGTATTGGTTCCTCTATAACAGACAATCGCTTCTCGCGATCCGTAGAGACTGCTGAAGTATGAAAAAATACATTTCTTAAAGTAGCCACAACGCGTTCCCGCGAAGTATCATCTACAGGACTTTCGGCATTTAATTCACCATTTGAATTCCTAAACAAACATAACATTGCAATATGATTTGGCAAGTTTTTATTTGTAACTTAATATTTAATTATATGATTCATACTTAGATATTTTTTGAATCTCCATTTCTATTTCTGAATCCTTGTTTCGTTTACGTCCTCCCATTGAGCGATTATTTATTGCACAACTTTCCAGTTTGCCACCCATCACCCTCTCTTGGTCCGCTTCAATCACGCTGACATGATCATCGAATCGTACTCGTTCCGAACCACCGTCCTCTCCGCACATAGTCCAACTACTAGAATCACTACATTGACGATCAAATGTTAACTTACGACGGATGCGTTTTGCTAAACCAGGTGCAACTTCTTCTAACGAGCTCAAAGAAGTAGCTTGTCCAGCAGAGTCCATATGACCACCATTAGCAGAGCTAATCGCCTGTTCTCCTTCAGTGCTTCTGCCACCACTGATCGAACTACCATCCATCTACATATATGTATAGAAAACAAATATTAGAATGTAGAAATTACTTTAATATTTTTTAATTCAGAGATATTTTAATATTTACTTAATAATAAAAAATTAAAAATTTTCTTTCCAATATTTATCAAAACGGAATAGATACCTTAAAGTTAAGAACGGAACCAGCTAAGGCTCTCGTGGAAGCCGCGCCATCGTCCAGAGCGATGGAAGCGTTTACGGATTTTTCAGATAAACTAGTAGCCGCAGAAGCCGTCTCACTACATAAACTAAAACGTTGAGTAGACGTAACGTCAGCCTGGACCTCCAATCTATGTAAATGGATACATGTAAATGGATATATCAGAGGAAAACGCATCATTTAATTTATGAATGAGAAACAAGTAATACCTTTGGCCTCCGGGTAATACGCTTGAAGCTATGCTTCCCGCAAGGCTGGTACCAGCAAGAGCTACGTTACTAGCGCTTTCACGGTCATTTTCTCGTCCTAATTTCTCCAACTGACTACCACTACCCAATGAAAGCGAAGCCTCCCCTATCGAAGGATTGCCACCGCGGTGACTCGCGACATCTATTGATGCCGCATCTGTAAAGTGACAGACTTGTAATAGGGTTTCGATCGCGATAGTTCGACCTCGATACAAAGTATGAATAGCCACAGCACACACGTGGCAGAATTGATTTAATCGAGCGGAACTCGTACATGCGTATATATGTGCGTAAAGCTTCATATTTACCTCCGCCGTTGCGAACGCCTAGAGCCCCCATCAGCTCATTCTCATCGTCAAAATCAAATCGTACCCCGGTACCACTCGTCGAGACACCGCAGCCTCCACTTCGGCAGAGAGATACTGGAACCACCCCATAGACATAGAACAGCAAAATGGGTACGCCAATACCCACGGCTAATCCCGCCAATACTGGTGACACCAAGACCTGTGGGAATCATGATAATAAATAAAGACTTATCTCTTTGTTAAAATCCCTCATCCCTCATAACGCGTCGCTTGCCACAACGACAAAGCATGGTGCCCGTAGAGATAATGTTTTTAGCGTCTTTAATGCTGCTTCCATGCTTTAAATAATGCATGTCCAACGCCTTGTTATAATATAAATAGGAGCAGTCTCAAATACACGTCGAAGGCCACGACGTAGTTATACGATGTAAGAAACTCTGATAATAAAAGTTTTACTGCTTGGGACAGTCCGTAAATCATATTCTTGACAAACGAAGATAATCGATTGAAGTCAATCTTTTAACATAATATCCTGTTTCATTTATATCTCAAGGTGATAGCTAATCTTATCTTATCCAGAAATAACAATATCTCTATTGAATTTGCAAGTTTCGAATATTCCTTAAATCGGTTTGCAGACTATTACATTTTTGTTACATATTTATCAGAATGCGTGCTACATTTCCACGCGTGCGGAACGATCGCGTTCATTGTGCCCTTTCTGTCTCTGGATAGAAATGGAGCATATTGTATGAGGCGCCCAGATAGACGTCAACGTGACAAGGATAACGGAGGCGTGTTAACGCGCTCCCGATTTTGAGATTTCCTGCGAGACTTCGGCACGGAGCCGGCCGAAGACAGAGGAAACCTGAGCGCGTGCACCGCATGCGGGTCGAGAGGAGATCCGGGAGGAGTAGAAGGAAGGATATTGATCGAGAGTAGACATGCGCGCGCGGGAGCGCCGTGATATCTTCCCTCGTCCCACCCTGCGTCGGCGGTAGAACGCCAAGCCCAAGGTGACAATAGAACATGTATCGCGTTGGTCAGTACTCTTCGAGATCCACGTAGCACCGTGGCAATTAAGGGTAACGCGTGCTCGGTGCGCCTAGACGAAGAGGAAGATTCTGATCAGCCGGTGAATCGGTCGATCGGTCGGTGCTCCGAGGGCGTGTCGATTAAAAAAGGCAATCGTTCTCTCCACCCGATGCCGGGGCATCGAACTACGGTCTGTTGCGAATCGGCGCAGAATCGGCGGCGACGGACGTAGCCGGGAAAAGGCAGCGGCACGTAACGAGAAGGGCTCATTCAGCGACGGTGATTTCACGGTGACGAGCACACGGACGAGCACGTTAATATCCACACGTACGCGTGTGCGTGCATCCGTGCGTGTATACGTACAGCGTAATTTAGATACGCATAATAACGCCCGCTGCGTATCGGTGGGGCAATCGTCATTTGGGGCGGCACATGCCTTGTTAACGCTGGCTGAGGCCAGACAGTCGTGCACCAGACGAGAGAGCATCGAGCATCGCTGAGCGGCGCGCCGGCGGGAGATTGACAAAGAGATATACAGAGAAAAGAAGAAAACTGTTGAGAGACGAGTCAGGAGTCATGTCCGACTTGGACGACGAGACCGACACTTCCTGCGGGGAGGAGCAAATCGTTTCGGATTGGGAAGTTCGGAAGGAGTGGCTCGAGAGCATATTATCCAAATATCACAATGGGAAAGCGGTTAGTCATATGAATCATAGATATATTCGTGCTGATATATCGCGTAGATATGCGAATTGAGTATGTAACGCGTTAATGATACGTTTGATTCGTCACCGCTGATCGTTGTGATGATTCATTTAGGTCGAAGTTCTGAAGTTTAACGTAAGTCCAGGATGCACGACGAGCGAGAGCGTGCTTAGCGCTATCACCAGCGTTACAGGAAGTTATTTAGCAGCACTTACAACGAATAAGCCAACGGATAAGTGCAAACTGTCCATTATCATAAAGCAACTCCCTAGGGATCCGTTTAGCCGCTTTTTCGTTACCGAAGGTCAATTCGATCTCCGAGAGATTAAATTTTATACACAGGTAAGGCGACAGATAATCAGATTTGAGATCTCTTTTTGTTTGACGAATTTTTACATGTTACGCGTTTGTATCAGGTGATGCCGGATTTAAAGGAATTCAATGAAAGACAACTAGCAAAGACGTCGCTAGAGGAACCGATTATATTACCAGTTCCGAAGTGTTATCATGCTCATTATAGTCCTGCAGGCGGAACCGACGATAGCCCGGTGCCGCCGGAATCGATATTAGTATTGGAGGATTTAGGCGCTTCCGGTTTCACGAGTGTTAAGTTCTCAGAAGGATTAACGCTAGATCAAGCGACAATCGCGCTAGACGCCATCGCTCGCATACACGCTCATTCCCTGTCGATGAAAGTCGTAGACGAACAATCTCTGTCCGAACGTTATCCATTTCTTTTTCAAACGGCGAAAGCGACAGACTCGTACCAGCAATTGGTGGAGCGCGGTTTACCACAGCTGGCACATTTTCTGGAGAGCAGACCAGGATTGGAGGCAGTCCTCAAGACTCTGCTGATTCTACGACCACGCACAAAAGACATTATTTCGGCTCTCCTTGCCCCGAAGGGTCCGTTGGCGTTGATAACTCACACCGATTTCTGGAGTAATAATCTGCTTTTCAGGAATAATTATGGAATCGCGGAATGTTATATTCTTGATTGGCAGATGGTCACTTACAGCCGGCCGACGAACGACGTCGCATTGCTGTTGGTGAGTTCAGTGCCCACCGAATTACGCCGCAAGCACACTGAGTCGCTCTTGAACACATATTGGGACAAGCTAAATTGGACATGCTCGAATCTTGGCCTAGATATTCCCAAGGATTTAGGTTACACTAGGAAGGATCTTGACAAGGATTATAGGAAATCCCAACTACTAGCGCTTTTACTTTGCATCGGATCGGTGGACGTCGCGCTCGGTGATCCTCTCACGGAGCAACGACTGATCGACGTCCTTGAAGATCTATATAATGATGGCGTACTGACGGACGAAGCCGTCATCGCGACAAACGAAGCCGATTCTTAATCACCGCTGCCACCGTTAGCGTATATATGCACCGAAGAATTAATATTTCTATCAGGGCTGTGACTCAAAGCGAAGAGTTTCACGTGAAGCAATAGATACTTCGATAGCCCACTTGTAGTTTAAAGACGCAATCTTTGTGTTCCCAGTCCAAAAGAGGCTTAAGCCAGCAATAACATGAATGCCGGCATCGAGGAAAATAGCTGCAAACAAGCACGACTCAACGTCGGAAGAATACAGTGGACGTTAGAAACTTACGCTCTACTCAATTTCATTTCATTACGACGAGATAAGACAAGTGGGACGAAATAGATCGAGATCGATATTAAAGAACACAATACATGTCTTAGTTATATCAATATAAACTTTGATAATTTATCGGCCATTACTTCTTGAAAGCTAAAATATCTTAATGATTACGCAAGATTCACTTGCAATTTGATGAAAGTCTCAAAAGTAAGATAAAATCGGAAGCAAATTTTTTAGAAGGTTTACTACGTAAAGTCTACTAAGAAAAATATTGATTTCTTATTGATAAATATAGATTTCTCTAATCTGTTTCTTCTCATTTCGATTTGTTGCTCAGATACAAATTGCTAATGGACGTCTTTAATGCGTTGTGCCAAACCGTTAAAGATCTAGGCAAATAGTTGTGATACAATTATTAAGATGAAATCAATTAGATCCGTGAGTAATGTTATAGGACATATATTAAAGTTATAGAGTATTTTCGAGATATACAAAACAATTACGTTCCATTTGTCCGAATACGTCCCGTGATAAACTTCTTCCGACAATTATTCCAGCGAACGCGCTGTTTTGTTAATGCTATATACAATTATTGTATTATCCATTTTCTCTGTATAAACTATATGGATAAAATATACTTCGATGTTATCACGAATAGTAAACAAAGTTCCTATCGCAATTAATACAGTCTACACATATCTATTCTTTCCCTTTTTTCTTTTGAATACTTCACAACCAGAATTCGCTTAATTATTTGTTGTATAACGAGAATTTTTAACGAAATATTTGAAATAAATAATGCTTATTAATCAAATGAAAATTTGATCACAACTGATATGTTGGTATCTTGCAACCAATACACTTTAACAATTATAAAAAGATATTTAATAAACTTACCGATGCAGTGACTCCACCTGCGATAAAGGCATTTCTCTTATGCTTGTTAGCCTTCTCATATCTTGTATATAATTTTTGCCCCACCCATACAGGTATACCTTAAATATAAAATATATAACATTTTTAATAACATTTTCTTTGTTTATTGTAGTTTTAATACTGTGTACTTCTACAGAGTATTTCATAACCGTCATACAATATTTTAATAATGTATTCTAGAAATAAAGTAGAGCAAAAAATCCTTGAAAATGTTGAGGTTATAATAGTTTTTGAATTATACCGATCAAAAATAAGTAATATCGCATAGGATGATTTTCATCAATCTCCGGTTAATCGGCCGATTATTCCACTGGAATTTACAATCACAATTTGTTCACAAATTTAACAACAAATATGATTGGTTCCAATGGAATAGTCGGACGATTAACTTAAGCGGAAGTTAGTGAACATCACGTAGAAGCTCAGGCCTGTAGTTACATACACGCATCGATTTGCCATTATCTGTTATTGATTTTTACACTTAATAATTTTTACTGCACAGCGGATTATTAACAGCAGTTAGTTATTAGTATTAAAATTATTAGTTATTAGTTAGTTATTAGTATTAAAACATTATATCTAATTGTTTTACACTTGAGAATGAAGTGGTCTGTTTTTTTGTACTTGAACTAGTGTACGCTTGTTGTACTTAAAATGAAATAGATATATATTTGAAGTTTAACAAAAGCGAGAAAGTATTAGTACAACCCAGTGAAAACAACAAACAAATCCGTGGTTTCTTGCAGTCTTAACATAAAAGATACCATGAAAATTGATTTATTTCTTTTATTTTTTATGACTTGTAAGGAATAGAATGTGATTATAATAAATTAAAGGAAATTAAATCATTCAAATTTTTTTAATAACTTAAATTTCTATTAGAGATGTAATAAAAAAATTTATTAAAAAATAAATTTATTGAAATCATACAATTATTTTTCTTGGGGAAAAAAATAAATATAAAGATAAATATTTTTTTTAAAGATTCATTAGATTCAATAATTCAATTTCATTTCAATAATTTTTCATGAATGGAATAAACTTATTAAAATATTGTATGGTGAGAAACCATGTATTATTATGTAAAATATTGTGAGAAATATAAAGTTCGTGAATATATATAATATAGGCCAACCTATGATCATGGCTGGAAATGCTATTCCAGCGACGAGACCAATTCCAATTGGTGCTCCTACTAAAGTTCCAAGTTGCCAAAGAATTTTCTTCTTTCTGGACCATGGTTTTTTACCCCAAAAAGTGCAGCCAGAAGGACTGCAAGTAGAAAAATATTTAAATATACTTGCTTAAATATAAATCTACACATTCAAATACAATTGGATACATAGCAACCTCAGATAATGAAGATCACTAATTTCCTTCATGCAAAGCCAACAAAATTCAGCGCCGCAAACAGCACACGTCATATGATTACAACTTCCATCGTCCATTTTCACAATCAAAACTTGACATCTAGGACATGGTTTTATATCATCTCCTAAACATAACGTGAATTATAATTTATCAGTTAAATATCAGTTAAATAAATAAATATTAATTCATGACTTCAGTTAAATAAATAAATATTACTTCATACTTACTGTGTTGAGAATCAGTTTGACTGAAACTTAAAGAAGAACTGCGCTCATAATATTGAGATCGTTGTGCTCTGGCAGCATCACACGTCTGATTAGGATGCCACCGTGCTTTACAATGATAACAAAAGTATGAATCACAACCCGGTCGTTCGCAACGTAATTTTGGACACGAAGCGCAACCACTAGCGATTACAGCAAAACTGCAATCTGGAGCGGGACACCATCTTGCATCAGGTTCTACAGCAAGTACTCTTCGAACCATAAAATCTTCGTACTTCTCTAACTGCGTTTGGTCATTTAGAATCATCCGAATATCTGTATGTGCGAAAATATCACACAAAAAAATTAAACGATAACTACTTCTAGATCTTATAAAAAACAAAATATATATTAGAACAATGAATTTACCATTTGGGTGCAATGGTTCTGAACACTCAGGGCAAGCGATATTAACTCTGGATTCGGAGATTTCTACTTTCAGATATTGTTGAAAACAATCGTAACAACTACGATGGTGGCAAGACTGAATAATTGGAAAAAATTCTACTGGCAGTTCGGCCAAACATAATGGACATTCCATTAATCCGTTCTCGTTACTCTGAAATAATAAACATAAAAAAATTTAATAATAATGATTTAAATCTAGTAATATTAAATTTAATATTTTCTTCGATGTAAATGTTATTTCGCCTTATTAATACCTTTCCTGCAGAAGAAAGTACAGAGCCTTTGCTGGAAGCACGCTGTAGATCGATGTTATGAAATTGGAAATGACTCGAACCGTTGCTTACTCTGGCCTCTCCTTTTTCAACATCCGTCGTCCTGCTGCTTGCTTGATCTTTAGCTGTGGAAATATTTTAAATTTTATAAAATTATATTTATTTTCAATTTTATTATTTATATTGCAGCTTAATAAAATCTAGAAGTTAAGGCCGTAGCATACAAAAAAAGCATACAAAAAAGCTTAAGCAGTAAAACTTAAGCAGTAAGGAAATCAACGTTACACATCTACAATGGGCAGTGATGAATTGTAAGTCATAATGCCTTGTGTCCACGATGCTAGAAATTGGTCCAAGATCTCGGATGGAAAGAGAATTGATCAATTGCGTTTGAATAATTCGGCCAATTAATGCGATTGGTCAATTCTCTTTCCATTCGAAGTTTCGGACCGATTTCTAGTATCGTGGACACGCCTAAGAAATTGATCAATCACAGTCGAGTGTGAGGCGAATTATCAACTGTGATTAATCAATTTCTTACGGCCTGCAACTCATCTACTACTGCTACTACTGCCCATTGTAGACCATGGGCTATGGGTTTGCTATAGTTTATATTACTGCCTTACATTTTCGATTGTGATTAACTGATTCGCTTACAGCTTAAGTTTTACTGCTTAAGTTTTTTTTTTGTATGCTATGGCCCTTACCTTTTGCATTTCTATTACTCGCACTAGGCGTTCTTGTAATACGGCGACCAATAAGCGGGCTAGAATATAATAATCTTCGCAGGGAAAATCGGGGAAATAATCTCCGAGGACGAGGTGGTACACCGTTACAGCCTCCAACGCCATTTTCACTTTCTTTAAACATTCTGGTAGAAGTAGTACGAAACGTTATGCGTTACTGTAGAACATATTTTGCCTTATGTTCACAATGGCACGTTCTGCAATCAAAACAAACAGATGGATTAAGATACAGCGAAATTTTGATTAACATGCGAATTATTAATAAATTGCTAACATACATATATCATTAAATATCATTACGATACGAAAATGTAAATTTGTAAAAATGGTACTTGTGATCATATTACATTAACGTGTGAATTAAAATTTAAATTCTCGATAAACATGTGCAACTGTTTAAACAAATTTATTGAGATATTATATTAATATGCTAATTCCAATTAATATGTTATTTCGCATGTATTGTTTGTATTACATAAATTCAGAATTACATAATACATGGGATATCATGATACATGGGATATCAAATCTATTAATCATACAGCATGAATAGACTTCAGCAAACTTTGAATTACATACGTGACTGCGGCAATAACGCTCATTCATTGCCGTTTCATCCGTTGTCATTCGAGTGATTCATTACGAGTGAAATAATTAAGCTAATAAGTGTCACGTATCTGTCGAAAGATATTGAAGAAATATTTATGCTGTGTTATATTTAAGTGAAATAAAATGTTGTAAAAATAAAACCGGTGCTTAAGAATAACAACCCAGTGAACAGAATATCTAAAATCGACGCATAAGATAACTTTAAGATATCTTTCAGAGTTCTTTATGAGATATTTCTGAAAGATATTTCTTAAAGAATTCTTAAAGATATCTTAAAGTTCTGCCTTGTGCTTCGATTTTAAACATTCTGCTCATTGGGAAAATGAACAAATCAAATGTGAATAAATTGGACGAATTATGTGAAATTATTTTTGGCGACGAAATTTTGAGAGAGAAATAACACGTGCATGATATTCTTGTCGGAAAATACGTTATAATACGTAAGTATTTATAATATTTTCGGAGGCGAAAAGCGAGTTAAAAAAAAACACGTATCTCTAAAATACTCTTGTATTTTCTCGAATTATCTGCCAGCGCGATCTGGCGCTTTTGAAAGAACAGCGGGGCAATTTTATTCTGGCTACGTGTGTATGTGCGTATGTGTGATGTCGCCATCGCGCTCGTTCATATTTTTAACAGGTTTTTATCAAAACGATTCATTGCTTTCTTCGGGAAAAGAACGATACAAGTCAAATCGTCACAAATGCGATGGTCATCGGCGATTTCACCACGTTCTACGGCATGAATTATCGCGTGTTGCAATTCTTAAAGTCATGTAATATGCACGAAATTTCGACATGCTCGAAGGAGAGAGGCTCGTATCTCTCTACGCAAGATACGCACATTTTCCAGATCGTATCATGTTTGTTATCTCTTAGACCCTCACTGATACAAAATGCATTGTTTCTGCTGAGTTCTACAAATAACTTTCCTTGTATCGTATCGTATTGCGCGATTGAATAATGCTTAAGCAACTCGTTCGTCGAGGCGAAACCTGCTTGAGAATATCATTGAAAAATACAACTTTATTATCCGCTTACATATTCATAACTTGACTTATCAAGATCAGTTGAGCTCTGACATCGAGCAAACAAAATTAATAATTCTGTTTCTAATTTATGTAAAACATAAATAAGTTATATAAAATAAATATTCACAATATAAAGAAAAAAATAATAATGTAAAATACAGATATAAAATACAGATAAGATCTCACAAGGAAGGAAAGTTGTCTCCAACGGCGACGATGACGTCATCCTTGCATTTTTGAGATTTCCAGTAAATAGAATTGCTATCCTTTTCGGATTACAAAATTAAGTCAGCTTTACACACGACACTTTTGCATCAGGTCAGATTTAAGACAAATCCCCGCTGGATCAATAAAATGAAACAATAAAATTTGGAAAAATTCGCACCGCTCGAGGTTTCTCGATAATCAAAAATTAACACACAGATCGAGTTGAAACGATGTGGGTCTCGCTTAGACCTCCTGGTTAACCGATTTGAACGTGGTATCGTCCACCGCGCGAGAACTGTCGTCGGGTCGCAGGGGGGGATCAGAGCAATGGAGAAGTACACATTTCACGAACGCAAAAATCTCAGGTTTGCGTGTCGGATGTCTTCAACGGCACGGCACGTACGTGATCACGCGAGAACGAGCGTATGCGAGCGGACGTAAGCGGTAAGAAAAGAAGCGAGACTCGCCACTTTCGACGGTTCTGTTTACGACGATCTCGTGGAACGCGCTGCGTCACGCCGTCAACGTGCGTCAACGAGCGCGACGTGAACAATGCGGTTTTTATCTCCACGCGAGAGAGACGCGAGAGATAAGAGCCTTTTCCTTCCCCCCCCCCGTGTCTTATCACCGTGTCGCGAACACCTTGCGCGTCGATGATTGGCACTCGGGATCAGGTACGAAGATATGCCGAGAGAGACGTGAGAGACTGCTCGATCTCTCCCACGACGGACAACGCGTGATACTCCGCCGCTGCGCGGAGAGAAACGTACCTCCGTCGTGCTATCGAACATAGGCCGGTCGATCGTCCTGGTATGCGTCAGAATCACTTTGGCACGGATCCACCAGCTCCTACAAGGCTGTCCGAATATCCGCGCAATTTGTTGGTTAAGGATGTTCACTTTGACACAACAGCTGACTGCTCCGATTACGACGGTATTATTACGGGAAAAATCCAATGTAGTTCGTGACTTGGAACGCGCGTCGGCAGCGTCACCTGGTGCCGGCGATCAGCATTACCTGCAAATGATCTGCGAGAATTTGAAACTGCGTAAGGAAATCGATTAACGCGCTCAAATTAGCGAGTATCGCATACTAACGGATATTTATCATCTGGATTGGAAACTCAATTAAAAAGATAATTTTTGTCCTTGTAGATTGAAAATTGTTCAATAAACTGTGAATTGTTTGAAACATTGTTGCGTATGAAAATTATGTCGCAAGAGTAAACCGATTCTAATATAATTTGCATAAATATATCTTGTTTTCTTCATAGATGAAAAACAATAATTGTCGTAATTAACATTATTCTTTGGAATTGTGTAACAATATGGAATTATGCATAATAAAGTTCTAGCAAAAAAGTTTTACTTTGAAGAAGGCTGTTAATCAAAGAAAAATATTGAGATTAAGATCGAAAGCTGACGCAACAAGTTGTAATTAATTAATATCTACATGGTTATATAATATGCAAAAGTTTCATTTTATACGAATATTGATACAACAGGTTTGTAAATTCATGCTGCATTGCATCTGTATGCCTTATTGCATTTCTAGGATTACCTAATATTCCGTGAAACGTGTTTACGAGAATTACATAAATTCCAATTCTCAATTTGCGTCATAACTTGATAATATCAATTATATACGATAGTAATATGAATAGGGTATAACAATAATTGCCATTTCATATAAACATAATAGAAACTCTTATTTCGTTGTAACAATATATAAACAGTTAACAAACTATTATATATCTACAATATTGCGTTGAATAATATATATCATTTGTGTATATAAATGTGATGTATGTAATTAGGACTATAAAATGTTTATCTATTAGCCTCCTTGCCGATCGCATCAGTAACAGAAGAAAATCCATTGGTTTCAAGTATTTCACATAATTCTCTTTTGATCTTGCTAACTATTGGTGGTCCATTATATATATATGACGTATAAAGTTGCACTAGAGAAGCACCAGCCTTTATTTTGTTGTAAACGTCAGATCCAGAAAAAACACCACCCACACCAATAATTGGTATCCTACCACGCGTTCGTCTGTACATGTCAGATATCATAGCTGTGGAAAGATTTGTAAGCGGTGCACCACTGAGGCCGCCACTTTCCTGCTTGTTCGGATTAATCAAATTTGGTCGCGTAATAGTAGTATTGCACAAAATTAAACCATCCACTTTAGATTTCTCGTTCAAAATTATATCTGCCACATCTTGTCGCTCAGAATCTGACAAATCTGGAGCTAGTTTTAAAAGCAACGGTTGTTTGCTACCCATCAATTGCCTCGCTGCATTTATTTTAAACAGTAATTCCTCCAAATTCTTCTTGTTTTGCAAAGATCTTAATCCTGGAGTATTAGGACTAGATACATTAATAACAAAATAATCTGCCACATCCATAAATCTCTTTATACCATCAATGTAATCTTGAATTGCATCTATCGTATCCTTGTTTTTTCCTAAATTCACCCCAAGAATGCCACTAAAATTCTTATTCTCCTTTAATCTCTTAAGACGTTTCCATACAACATCATGTCCATCACTGTTAAATCCATATCGATTTACAACTGCATTATCTTCTGGCAATCTGAAAACTCTAGGCTTTGGATTACCAGGCTGAGGTTTCGGTGTCACAGAACCTGCAAAAAATCAATATACAATTATCATCAATAATCATATCTATAAATATTGTTTGTTAATATATTGTCTATAATATTATGCTGAGATTTTACCTATCTCCACAAAACTGAAACCAATTTTATGCAATCCTTCTACTGCCTCTCCTTGTTTATCAAATCCTGCTGCCATACCAATTGGATTTTTAAACTGCAAGCCTAGTACAGTTGTTCGAAGCAAGTTAGGATCCTCCGCTTTCTGCTTTGGCACAAGACCATATTTTAACGTTTTCACTGCAAGGTTGTGAGCGATTTCCGGATCTATCAATTGAACTAAAGGTATAGCAATTTCATTATAAAATCTTTCGTTGCCTTGATAAAGAGAAATGCCGCCAAACAGAACAGCAGCACTGCTCGTCACAGTGAACAGTGACTTCAGCTTTGCTTTGTTGCTTAATCGCCGAGCCATTTGTGCAATGCTTATCGAATCCTTATACGTTATTTTGAGCTACCGACTCATATACAAATGTAAACATCACTGAAAAGATAAAAGGTTATGCGCTTGAATAAATAAAATTAAATTAAATTAAACAAGATGATTTCTATTTATTAGTTATAAATCACGTACAGACATACGTACAACAATTTCACAAACGGAATCATAATTATTTTTAAATAATGATAATAAATCACTGTTATATCTCAATACTGATAGAAACACACCGTACACATGACATTACATGACATAAACTACAGATAAAACTGTCGATGATTACCACAGAATGGTGTAGATAAATTAACAATACGATAACAATAGCTCATTAATAATATAATTTTGTATTATGTATTTTCGTGAAATTTGACTTGTATTATATAAGTAATATTGAATATTAATTATATTTTTGGTTCATCCATCGTGTTCTTTTAGTTATCCACTTGACACACGTTGTATCGCGATGCTAGAGACTGAAGTTACCATCAGTTACCGTCTTCAAACACTTCGTTGCCATGAACGGAGTGTAGTGGACGTGAGACACTCCGTAGTGAACAGAGAGGCACTGGACGAGCGATGTCGCGACTTTTAATTAATCGGTAAGTGAAATATATCTCTTAATTAATCTCGTATTTATTCCATACAATAGAAATGTCCAAAATATATCACAAGGATATTCTAAAGATATTGCGATAGTAAAAAAATTTCCATATAATTATATATACTTATAAATAACGTGTCATATATTAAATATATATATATAAATATTTAATTATATATGAACTGATGATAGAATTATATATAATGATTATATATAAATATATATATTAATATATAATCTTATGAATATCATATAAGTATCATGTTTTTATACATTGATATATTCCATATATAATTATATGAAACATTTTTTATCTACTAGGATATCTCTATGTTTCTGGAATACTTTATTATAATATTTAATCATTGTGTTATTTTAATTATATGCATATTAATCCAATATTGATGCAATAATAATTTATTAAATACATATGTTTAGCATTTGCTTCTACATCGATCAAAAATGCTTTTTT